TTTTTTTTTGAGCTTTCATACCAGCCTCTGAATTTTCAGTTGGCTTATTTCTCATCAGATTTAAGTTTAGCAACCTTAAAGCACCACAGAGTATTATAGTATTCAGACTACATACCTGGAAGAATTTTGGACCTTTCATTATGTTTTGCCGTTACTGTGTCAAATGATGTCCTTGGTGTTTTGGCTTCTAAGTAGACATGACAGGTATGGGGAAAGTCGGGATGGGTATGTATTTGTGGGGGAAAATAAAAGGCAAGAGGTTGCGTTGTGGCAGCTTTTTGTCCTCATTTTCTGGTGTTCCAGACTAAAACTTGCAAATCTACCATTGCCAAAGTCTGGTTGGTGATTTTGATAACATCAGATTATTCCAGCATGCTGAGGAAGACTTTCTTTCTTGGCATGAGGTTATTTTAATTTGCTATTATTTGAATACAATAAAATGACGTGAAAATGTTCATTTTAAATGTTATGTCACAATAAATTGCCAAGGAAAAGCTAGAACTTTCTATTGTAAAGCACAGGGGACAAAGATGTTGAGAAACCGCATTGCCAGTGGGTGTGGAGCACTCGAGTTTGAGGGCCAGGTTCTCAGTCTGATTAGTTAATTCGCTTTGTTCCTGTCATTTCCAGGACCCCACTGGGGACCCTAAGGCAGCAGCAGAACAGGAAATGGAACAGCTAAAGACGCAGGTGACACGTCTCCAAGCTGAAAAGGCTGATCTGCTGGGCATTGTGTCTGAATTACAGCTCAAACTGAACGCAAGCGGCCCCTCCGAAGACTCCTTTGTTGAGATCAGGATGTCTGTAAGTGCGTTGGCTTTGGTTTTGTTTTAAGCTAATTACAGAACCTCACCTGGACAGTTGATACAAATACCACCATTTCATTTTCAACACAGAGGAGCCAAGCAGTGGGGAAATTTCAGTGTAACAAAGATAAATTGGCTCTTGTTTCTTAAGTATAACATAATGCTTGTAAGGGTTATCATTGCGGAAATGGAAAAATATCGATTACCTTTTATGACAAAAGAGATCGTCCTTCCTTTTTCCAGTACCTCCTCACAAATCAGACATTTATGTGACTGACCTAAAAATAAAAGCATAAACTTTTTCAGACCAGGTCTCAAAGCTGTGTTCAACATTTCACTTAGATGAGCAGAACTATGATCAGATGCAGTCAATTCAGAGCTTTAAAACACTTTTTAATAATAGACCCATGCTTTCAAAGACATCTTCTAAAGTACCATGGTCTGTTAAAAATAAGAAGTGGAGGAAAGAAGGAGCAAGGCTGCTCTGGTTGTAGGTGGAGGAACTGTCTCAACAGCAGCTGCTCAGGGACCTCTGAGAACGGAGTCTGAAGCCGGTGCCAGCAAACTCGCATTCATGTGCCACCCATATTGAAGTGCGCTGAGCCAGGTGGCATGTCCTGCCGCATTCCTAAGCACATGTGAGTCACCTGTCACAGCTGTGTCTGGGTGTCCTATTAAAGAGGTGGATGAACCACGGAGGGGCCTCTCCTTTGTTGCTACTAAAAAAGATTAGAGAAGTGAGGGAGAAAAACACATGAGGGTGAAATCCTCTGTCATACACACTGTCATTTTAGCTTTGTCAAAGTGCATGTCTCTGAAAGAAGAAAACGCACCTTGTACATAACGGGGAGTGGGGAGCAACTTGCAAAAAGCTAAACTACTTGGCATGTCTGAAATATCAGAGTGTGACTTCCTTTACTTTCTGATTCGTTTGCTGCACTAAAGATTGATTGAGCTGGAAAATGGCTCTTAGTAATGCCATCCATGCCCCCTAATAAATTTTAGATGCCTTAATAGTGGTCAGAATCAAGAGAATTAAAATACCATTTGAAAAGCATACTTTGTCATGTCTGTAAATGACTAAAGATTATGAAACACAAATTTGATCAGAGTGTTAACCTGCAAATAACTGATAAAATTCAGGAAGCCCACAGAGCATATCAGAAGTTTCCAAATGAGGCTCTTCGTTCAGAGTGCATGGTTAGAATAATATGTTCTCTCACTGATGAGGGACAGTTATTTTTAGTATAAACCTGTTTTTCTTGCCTTGCTTCTGTGAACTGGAAAGCACTGCCCAAGATTTAGGAAGAGTGTCACAATCAAAATTATTGAGAACCACCTTTCTGCACTTTTGGAAGATTTTCCCACTAGGTCATTAGAATAGAAATATCTTTCAAATCATTTAAGTGGTCCTAATCTTCTTGTTTCTTAAATGGCCCAAGATACACAGGATTTCTAATAGGAGCCAACTTCATGTTTTGTGAGCCTTGCTCACAGAAAACTGCCTCTTTTTCAACTTTGCTTCAGCAAATTCTAGCATTTTGCATTTTACTGTACTGGGAAGGTATACGGAGTTGTCACTGTGTGACCTTAACCTAGGAAAGAAGGAAACTGCCAAGGAGAGAGAGAAGGAGATAAGCTTTCATGTTATGGGGTCAGGAGCCCAGGCTTCGTCTAGGTATTTATAATCCTGATAGTCATGTGGGGTGAGGGAAGGGTACATTTCCACTCCACTTGACTGACCAGATTTAAACATCTCACATTTAAATGTGCGGTAGGTGCCTTGGCTTGGGTGTCATCAAAATTCTTGATCTTTTGCCTTTTTCTCTTTTGATAATTTGTCTTGCAGACATGTGTTAAATCCCTTTCGTTTCTGCTTGTACAGGAAGGAGAAGCACATGTGGCAGTGAAAGGAATGAAGACCAGTCCTGGGCCCACAAGAGCTGACTTCACTGACACGTATGTGAAAAAAGACTAGGGCTGTGGGACAGGCAGACTGGGCAGCCGTGTCACTTCCAGCTCCCCACTGGGAGGTCAAACATGATGGGCTGCAAAAGTCACTTCTTATTAAGTTACTCCAGGACCTTTCAGCAGTGTTCGGTGTGAATGCTGTTTCATGTTGCAGTCAAAACTGGCAGAGAATAAAAAATGTTTGGTGCCTTTTTAGGCCAACCCTCACCACTCAAGTTTTCCATCTCCATCAGATCAGAAGGAAAACAAACTTGGTCTCCATCAAAAGACCCATGTTTCCTAATTTGCATACAGTGCCATTTAACCTGGACCAGGCTGCCCAGCTTGACAAGTGGGATGTTTCCATTTTCTCTGCCCTGTTCACTCCTGAGTACAAGCTGAGGTGACTAATATACTGGGTAATCTTCTCTAACAATGACTGTTACTGCTCTGAGTCACTGGGTGTTTCTTGAAAGTNCCGCAGACCCCTTCCCTGGGACCCTGAGCCAGCAGGGGAGTGGGTGGCGAGGTGTGGGGAGTCCCCTCCTGTGGGAGGGTTTCCACTTCCCGGCGGATCTTGACCTGGGGGGAAAGGGCCGCGGGGGGATGGCCATCCCTAAGCGCCCTTCCCCCCTTTTTACCGGCCTGGCAGGCCGCAGGTGACTTCCTCTGTAGGTCGCGAAGGTGGTTTAAGGTGACAGCCTCCCGCAGGTTCGGAATGAATATACAAGCAGTTCCTCATTATAAGGGAAGTGGTTAAGGGTACACCTTGGGAAGACATAAAATACTAAAAACTACTCTAGCTTTCGGACATGGCCCGGGAACACCAAAGAACAAGCGATCTCTCCAAGGTGGTAGGAAACTGAACAGCTAGCTGAAAGGAATCTTCATAAACATGGGTGTATGTGTGTGCGTGGATCTATACATACATACTTATGTACATGTATATAGACAGAGAGAATATGAATATTTGATGAGGCTGAGGAATTGCCTTTACGGTTGGAAATGTGTAAGCTGGAGGCAGTAAACATCGCGAAGAGAAAATGAAACCTAGGTTCTGGTCTGCCTCCTCCACCAGGAAAACTGTTGTGTGGAAATGTATGCCACAGAGATATTTAAGGATAAAATGGAAAACCGAAGCTGTAGGGCAGTGAGGTGGTGTTAGGATATCGAAAGTCTCGGATCTGGTTAAGCAAGTGGCATTATTAACAGGCACCCCCCTCCCCGCTTGCTCTTTGTCCAGGGGCCTGGCCAACCCTCAGGACCTGCCCAGTTTGGAGTGGGCTGCAGAGATCCTGAGAGAAGACCAAGGCCAGGGACTGCCCTGGAATGGACTACCCTGTAGAGAGAGGACAATCATTAGAGTCTTTGGGGTGAATGATTCATTTTTCTACTGGGACAGTTTTAGTAAGTTCTTTAGATATTGTGAACATTATAAAAGTATCTTTTTTGTAATTGACCTCAGGTTGCATCTTATTATGTATGCTATGGAATCCAAATAAACCCTTCAAAAACCAAAACAAACTTTATTCTTGAAAGGAATCAGTCACTGTATTTACTACCTTAGCATGGGACCNCCCCACCCCTTCCCTGGAAAGCACAGAGGCCTGTGGCACTGGGGGTCGCAGGGCCAGCTGTGCTTGGTCAGTAAATGAGTATTAACTGGAGAGTGTTCTGGAAAGCAGTTCCTTTAAGTTGGTTCCAGTTATACTCTTAGATGTGAACGTTTTTGTTTTCTGATGAAAACCTTTATACTGGTCTTGCTGTAGGAGCAGATCTGCAGAAAGTGCCAGGAGTTATTTGGAATCTGAGGAATTAACTGTGAGCCAGCTCCTGCTTTGTCTGAGGGAAGGAAACCAGAAGGTGGAGAGACTAGAGAAAGCACTTACGGAAGCCAAAGAAAGGTATGAAATAGGTAACTTAAAATATGCATGCATTGCTTTTCTAACAGCTCTACTGAGATATCATTAAGATACCATACAATTCATCCACTTAAAGTGTACACTTCAATGATTTTTAGAATATTCACAGTTATGTAGCCATTATTACATTATAATTTTAGAATGCTTTCTCCCAAATAAGAAACCCAGTACCCATTAGTGCCCATTCCTCATTCCTCATTCCTCTCAGTAATCTACTTTCTGTCTCTATAGATTTACCTGTTATGGACATTTCATATAAATGGAATCATATAACGCATGGCCTTCTCTGATTGGCTGATGTCACTTAGCATAATATTTTCAGAGTTCATCCATGTTATAGCATGTACCAGTTCTTCATTCCTTTTCGTTGCTGAATAATATTCCATGTGTCACAAGACATTTTGTTTATTCATCAGTTGGTGAACATTTGGGTTATTCCCACATTTTGCCTATTATGAATAATGTTTGCTCTGAACTGTCATGCAGTTTTTTTGTGTGAATGCTTTTTGTTGTTGTTGTTGTTATTGCTTTTTTTGTTTTAATTCTCTGGGCTGTTTCACTGGGTGTGGAATTGCTAGGTCATATGGTAACTCTGTGTTTAATAGTTTGAGGAACTATCAAACCATTTTCCATAGTGGCCGCACCATTTTACATTCCCAAAATGTATGAGGGTTCCCCTTTCTCCACATCCTCACCAACACTAGTTGCTATCTGTCTTTTGATTATAGCCATCCTCATGAATGTGAAATGGTATCTCATTGTGATTTTATTTCCCAAATGACTAATAATATTGAGTATCTTTTTTTTTTTTTTTAAAGATTTTTANTGTTTGGGACAAAGAGACACACAGGGCTCTTTAATACCCTTGGTCATCAGCCTTCTCCTCCCAAACTGTGCCTCCCAAGCTGACCCCTTGCCTCCCTGCCTCTTCCTTATTTTTGTTTCATGGGCCATTTGAGGTGATTTTTAGATTTAGGCCATCATCTTCCTGACTTAGTAAAGCTCGCAAGACTTGGGACTTGTCTCACTCATGCTGGCCCATTTTTGCTGCTGTTTCCACAGGGATTCCCCCACTGCCATCAGGGCTTCTCAAGCATTTTGTCATACACAGGGAAAGGAGTTGGACATTTCCTCTAGAGATCTGCCTTCCAATCCTCAGGGCGAGGCTGAGGCATTAGTGGTTCTGTCCGATTTCACGCAATTATACTTTATAATGACTCTACGAAGTATTTTTTAACTTTTAATTGCAGATTGCTAGGCAAAGGTCATTAGGTATACTTTCTTTCTTGGGTTATAAAATGGGATGTCAACTTGGACATGTTGCTAGGACAGTAGGAGAGAGACATTACACAAATACGCAGAAAGACTGTTAAGTTGCTGTGTTGCACGAAGGTCAATGGTAAATGCTCAGAGGTGATGACAGTGTGACAAATAGTGGAATGGGGGCTGAGATCCTAGAGCATAAACTGTGGGAGTTCTAGTCCAGGAAGCCAATGAAAAGACTCTCAGGGGTAAAATGAAGAGACATTTAAAGTGTTATAATACAAGGTGTTTATGGCCAAACAAATAGATTCACATTTTCTCAAAGATAATTAAGAGATGTTCACAATTGTGAAAAAGAAAATTAACCTGACAGTCGGAGATGCTAGTGTCATGGCCTTATATCCCTGGTCCTCAGACACTTGTTTAAAACTTCATTCCAGGAATATAGTTTTATAAAGAGACAGAAAAGTCAAATAAAGCTCTAAGCTGCTGCTGCTGCTGCTGCTGCTGCTGCTGCTTCTTCTTCTTCTTCTTCTTCTTCTTCTTCTTCTTCTTCTTCTCCTCCTTCTTCTTCTTCTTCTTCTTCTTCTTCTTCTTCTTCTTCTTCTTCTTCTTCTTCTTCTTTTTCTTTTTTAATAAAACTCTATTTCCTACCTTTATGCCAAGGTAGTTTTGAAAAATCCATCCCATAAAATGTTCTCTGACAGGTCAGATGGGTAAATGTGAACATTCCTAATGGTCATACATAGTCTTGCCTTCGTCTGCTTGCTTCCTGGTTCCAAGCTCAGCGGTCGCTTTCTTTGTAGTATGTTTCCATTCCTTTACACGTACGTTTCTTTGGTGTGAGTCATTACTAAGAGAGACTGCACAGGCTCTTAACCTTTCCTTGCAGACCTGACTCTTCCGTTTCACAAGCAGTTGCTTTGCTCGAAGGCCTGTGCTAGTTTCCTAGCAGGGAAATGCTCCAAATGAATGAAGAGCATGACCTCGATGGTAGGAGGGCCACCTCCATGCTGCAAATTAATACCTGTCCCACAGTTTTTAGTATTTCATGGACGAGTTGGTTTCTGTTCCAGGCATGCTCCCTTCTGATACTTGTTGGTTCCCCCATGAGCCTTTGAGCCTAGTTACCATTCCTTAGGAAATCTACCACAGGAAGGGTGTGTGTGTGTGTGTGTGNTCTTGTAGAACACTCGCAAACCACGTTACTCGCAATCCAAGGTTTTACTGTATATGGAAATCCTCCTGAATGACTCTTGGTAGGATTCCTGGTCATCACACTGTCGTGCCCTTTTCTTCCTCCTCCATTTCCCAACTCCTCATCCTTTACACACCCATATACACAGACATACACATGCACATGCATACACGCTGAAGCTAGGATATGCCTTTGTTTAAAAGGAAGAGTAAAAAAATATTCAAAATAGGAGAGAAAGTAGGCAACTTTTGGAATACGTATTAGCAATTGCTAATGGATTTGGGGAGATTCATGGGGACCCCTTGCAGAGGAGAGACAGCTATATTTTCTGTTTGTAACTTTTCCACAGGAACTGCTGCCATGTCCCACCAACCACTTAGCTGCCTAACTGAAAAGGGGGATAGCCCCAACGAAACCACAGGAAATGGACCCCCAAATCTGGCTCATCCAAACCTGGACACATTCACCCCAGAGGAGCTACTGCGGCAAATGAAAGAGCTCTTGATTGAGAACAATCAGCTGAAAGGTAAGCAGCACCTGGCCCCTGTGTTTCTCCATTCACCCCGGACTTTCCTGAACATAATACCCTTTGTAATAAAGCTTGTTGGTGAACTCCCTGCTCTCTATCTGGTTCCCTGGGGCCAGAAAGAGCACAGAATTTAGCTTTTATTAAGGCCAAAACTGCTTTCATTGTTTACTTTTGAGTGAAGGTAAGCATGAAAAATATTTTATGTGTTTCAGGGAAATGGCATAATGACATTTAAAAGGAAAAAGAAAGAAGGCTGCTATTATTGCAGAGTTAGTCCAAATATTACCTTGTTAAAAGGAAGCATTCTAATATCTCAAGCCATTGCTTTTGGCAGGACCTGTGTTTGAATCTAGTTAGTCTCTGTAGTTATTCTCAGGTATTTGTGCTATATGGAGGTACCCGAATAAATTTTATTTTCTTGAGACTTGCGAGGACTAGAAATAACATTAGACCCGCTAGTCCCGTCTGGAAACGAAACCCACTCATCGTGCTACAGTCTTCTTCTGGCTGACCCTTGGGCCCAGGCCCAACATGGCATCTTTAGATTTAGAGCCTCATGGTGAAGTGGTCTGAGGGGCAGTGTGATTCATGAAACCAAGTCCAGTCCCCTGGTGTGTGACACCCTCACTCTGAACCCCATACAGAAGCCATGAAGCTAAATAACCAAGCTATGAAAGGGCGATTTGAGGAGCTTTCAGCCTGGACAGAGAAACAGAAAGAAGAACGCCTTTTCTTCGAGATCCAGAGCAAAGAAGCCAAAGAGCGCCTCACGGCTTTGAGTGATGAAAATGCAAAATTGAAGGAAGAACTTGGAAAACTAAAAGGGAAAACAGAAAGGCCATTCCAGGTGAGCAGACTGATTAGCTGTGGTTTTATTTTATTAATATTTGTAGTGGAATCCTATTTGTCTAGACTTCTAGATCAAAACCTTTCATAGTTCAGGTTAGACAGGTGTTTTGCATTATCTTGAAAGAAGTGTTCTTTCTGAGAATATTGGTTGGGGTTTTAAGGGTCCTGAATAATCGCTGTTGGGGGAAAGAAATTTGTAAAGCTTTGACCATATTGATTATAGTCAAAAGAATGTTGCAGTTATAAGTCAATATTTTGCATTCATTGTAGACAGTGCAGAAGGACCTCTACCTAGAACCATCCAAATATTAGTTTTTAGTGTATGTCTGTGATATAAAATTATATTGTAAGAAATCTGTTACTCAGAATTTTTCCTTATT